ATCACCTGTTCTTCACCTGTTCATCTCCTCTTCATCACCTCTTCATCACCTCTTCATCACCTGTTCTTCACCTGTTCATCTCCTCTTCATCACCTGTTCATCACCTGTTCATCACCTGTTCATCACCTCTTCATCACCTGTTCATCACCTCTTCATCACCTCTTCATCACCTGTTCATCACCTGTTCATCACCTGTTCATCACCTCTTCATCACCTGTTCACCTCCTCTTCATCACCTCTTCATCACCTGTTCTTCACCTGTTCATCACCTCTTCATCACCTCTTCATCACCTGTTCATCACCTCTTCATCACCTCTTCATCACCTCTTCATCACCTCTTCATCACCTCTTCATCACCTGTTCTTCACCTGTTCATCACATCTTCATCACCTCTTCATCACCTCTTCATCACCTCTTCATCACCTCTTCATCACCTGTTCTTCACCTGTTCATCACCTGTTCATCACCTCTTCATCACCTCTTCATCACCTGTTCTTCACCTGTTCATCACCTCTTCATCACCTCTTCATCACCTGTTCATCACCTCTTCATCACCTCTTCATCACCTCTTCATCACCTCTTCATCACCTCTTCATCACCTGTTCTTCACCTGTTCATCACCTCTTCATCACCTCTTCATCACCTGTTCATCACCTCTTCATCACCTCTTCATCACCTCTTCATCACCTCTTCATCACCTCTTCATCACCTGTTCTTCACCTGTTCATCACCTCTTCATCACCTCTTCATCACCTCTTCATCACCTCTTCATCACCTGTTCTTCACCTGTTCATCACCTGTTCATCACCTGTTCATCACCTCTTCATCACCTCTTCATCACCTCTTCATCACCTGTTCTTCACCTGTTCATCACCTCTTCATCACCTCTTCATCACCTCTTCATCACCTGTTCTTCACCTGTTCATCACCTCTTCATCACCTCTTCATCACCTCTTCATCACCTCTTCATCACCTCTTCATCACCTGTTCTTCACCTGTTCATCACCTCTTCATCACCTCTTCATCACCTCTTCATCTCCTCTTCATCACCTCTTCATCACCTGTTCTTCACCTGTTCATCACCTCTTCATCACCTCTTCATCACCTCTTCATCACCTGTTCTTCACCTCTTCATCACCTCTTCATCACCTCTTCATCACCTGTTCATCACCTGTTCTTCACCTCTTCATCACCTCTTCATCACCTCTTCATCACCTCTTCATCACCTCTTCATCACCTCTTCATCACCTCTTCATCACCTGTTCTTCACCTGTTCATCACCTCTTCATCACCTGTTCATCACCTGTTCATCACCTCTTCATCACCTCTTCATCACCTCTTCATCACCTGTTCATCACCTCTTCATCACCTGTTCTTCACCTGTTCATCACCTGTTCATCACCTCTTCATCACCTCTTCATCACCTCTTCATCACCTGTTCTTCACCTGTTTGCAGTGTATTCGTGTGCGTTGTTGCGGGACATCCTGCTGCAGGGTCGTCTCTACATCTCCAGAAACTGGCTGTGTTTCTACGCTAACCTGTTCGGGAAAGACATCAAGGTGAGAGGAGATTCAAAGACTCTTTTTTCATGTTTAAAATAACTTTAAATAAGCTTCTTCCTGAAACTCATTAGAGCTCAAAAACACGTTGAGGACAACTTCCTGTTCATGAAAAGACTAGGGTTGTTTTCACACAAATAGGAGAGAGACAGTTAAAGTAAGTACTTATATGTGGAAATGTACAAGAGTAAAAGGTACTCTTTATTGATATCTACCTCTGATAGGATGTGCAGTAGTGGTATTATAAAGTAGCAGAACAAAGACACGCTCAATTAATGAAAGAACGACCTCACATCTTTGTAAAGTGAGTAAATGTACTTAGTTACTTTGCACCCCTGCAGAGACAGGAAGTGTTTGCTCTGCCCTTCACCATAAAGTGTGTGTTTCCTGTCCCTGCAGGTGTGTATCCCCGTGGTGTCGGTGCGTCTGGTGAAGAAACACAAGACAGCCGGCCTGGTGCCCAACGGCCTGGCTATCACCATGGATACGGCTCAGAAGGTGTGTGTGTGTGTGTGTGTGTGTGTGTGTGTGTGTGTGTGTGTGTGTGTGTGTGTGTGTGTGTGTGTGTGTGTGTGTGTGTGTGTGTGTGTGTTAGTACTTTAGGTTTTCATACAGACACGGTTGGATGTGAAAACAGCTGTATAATGTTTTATGGATGATGTTTATTTTTCGGAAATGGCCTAACATTTGTCTAAAAAACTACATTTCCCATGAGCCTCAGCTACTGTCACTGAGGATTTAAGTCATAGGAGCTAATTAAAATCACAACATCCAAAAGTGAATTCCCTTTAAATGCAGACTGTAAAATTAATCAGATGTTTAACTTCTGTAAAGAATTTGAAGCTTTGACAGAAACCGCTAGGGGCGTCTAATGGAGTAGACGGATCCAACAGGTGGTCCTGATACTTCATAATAAATCCATTAACATCCTGCTATTTTTTGTTCTAATTCGACCAAAACTTGACCCAGTTTAAGATTAAAGCTATCTGTGATCTACTATTTGGATATATGTGCAGCTATCATGCCTCCAAAGGCGAACAAGACAACTGCTAGCTTAACCAGTAGCATGGCTGAGGCTAAGGATCAACGCAACAACATAATAGAGCAGTGGTTCCCAACCTGGAACGCTTGGGGGGGCGCCAAAGAGCAGGTAGTCATATCATTAGGCCATGGAAGAAAAAATCCTAACAAGTTGCAAGAGGCACATCCCTATGTCGTCGGGAAAAAATAAGAAAAATCGCTCTACTCCGGAATGGATAAATGATAGAATCAAACATCAAATCAAATCAAAAAGTGCAGCTTACACCTTACAAAGGTTATCTGGTACAGAGAGTGACCGTTGTTCCTATGCAAAATTGTGCAACCAAGTTAAATGGGAGTGTCGGAAAGCTAAAAGAGAGCATGAAAGAAAAATTGCAAAGGAAGCCAAAGAGAATCCGAAAGCTTTTTATAAATATGCCAGAAGCAAGCTAAAAGTCAATGCCACAGTCGGAGATCTGAAAAAGGCTAATGGCAGCCTGGCTCAAAATGACAAGGACAAAGCCAATACACTAAATTCCTTCTTTGCTAGTGTGTTCACAAAGGAGGATACCTCATCAATACCAGACTTCCAGGACAGACCATTTAATACTACACTAAATAAATTGGACTTCACATCTAAGGACATACATAAAAAACTATCGAACTTAGATGCCTCAAAAGCATCAGGACCGGATGGCATCTATCCCAGGATTCTCAAAGAACTGTGTGACGAACTAGATGAACCCTTACTTACCATATTTAAAAAATCGCTTGATGAAGGTGTGGTACCACAGCCTTGGAAGGATGGTCATGTAACTCCTATATTCAAAAAAGGTGACCGAAGCAATCCTGGAAACTATAGGCCTGTCAGCCTTACAGCAGTAGTATGCAAACTCCTTGAATCCTTGGTGCGTGATGCCGTCATAGAACATCTTGACTCAAACAACCTATTATCAGACCGCCAACACGGCTTCGTCCAGGGCAGATCCTGTTCAACCCAACTCCTGGCCTGCCTTGACATATGGTCTCGTACCCTTGACGAAAGAGGAAGTCTCGATGCCATTTATTTGGATTTCCAGAAAGCATTTGATACTGTACCTCACAAAAGATTACTGAATAAGCTCTATGGGTATGGTATCCGTGGAGACATACTCACCTGGATCTCAGACTTTCTCAAAAACAGGCGACAGAGAGTCTTTGTTAACGGGAAACCATCTGGATGGTGCCCAGTTCTTAGTGGAATTCCACAAGGTAGTGTCCTGGGTCCTGCACTGTTTGTCCTCTATATCAACGACCTACCGGATAATGTGAGCTCCTGGGTCCAGATGTTTGCAGATGATACTAAAGTCTTCAAGGAAATTAAGTGTAAAGAGGATGCAGAAAAACTCCAGTCAGATCTCAGAGAAATACAAAGATGGTCCGAGTGTTGGCAGCTCAAATTCAATGCAGCAAAGTGCAAAGTAATGCACTTAGGTTTTCTGAATAAAAAATATGAGTATAATATGGGTGATAATTCAAACACTATAAACCTATCCGAGACTCAGAATGAAAAGGACCTTGGTGTGAATGTTGATAATACCCTGACATTTAGTGACCATATCCGTCGGCCAAGTAACAAAGCCAATGGTATCCTAGCAATGATCCGCAGATCATACACTTATTTGGACTCTGACGTAGTACGTAGTTTATACATCTCTCTTGTACGGCCACTCCTCGAGTATGGGAATGTCGCTTGGTCCCCCATGTACAAAAAGGATGCTGAGCTCATCGAGAAAATGCAGAGAAGGGCAACGAAGCTGGTTCCAGAACTAAAGGACCTACCATATCAAGAACGACTGCAACGTCTTAAAATCCCGAGTATGTATTATAGAAGGGCGAGGGGAGATATGATCGAAGTTTTCAAATATCTCCACAACATCTACAAAACATCATGCCCACTACAACGGGATTATAACACCAGGACTCGTGGACACTGCCTCAAGTTGAATAAACAGTACTCAAGACTGGCTATCCGCCGCAACTTTATCAGCCTGCGTGTGGTTGACTTGTGGAATGATCTGCCAGAAAGCGTTGTCACATCCAAGACGGTTAACTGTCTCAAATCCCGCCTCGACCACTACTGGTCAAACATCACCTTCACTTTGGACTATGTGACTGTTGCCAGCATCCATAGTAAATAAAGAATCAGTGATCTACTCATTTATTTATGAGCGACTAAAAGGCCTTAGGCCTATTACAGCCGTATCCTATTGATTGATTGATTGATTAGCTAGAACTAGCTGGATCTGATCGATATGGACATAAACGCGAGGGAAGTCTAATCTGACGGGAGAGAGAGATCAGCTGCTGCTGACGAGTTGACACGCAGCTCTGCATAATCACATGCAGCGGTGAGCGGACAAAACACACACTTCAGGTTAAAATATCACACGTAGCTATTTTAGTGACCTCTCAAACTACCGTAACTAGTTATAGATATGTTTAGTTTTACTGTCGGGTCACTCATCACTGATCCGCGAGCTGCATGATACTGACGGGCTGTCAGGAGAGGGAGAGCGCTCCGTTTATTATTCCCGTGTTCTTGTAAATTACTGAACACTTTTGAATAATGTAGTTAATCTACTATAATTAGTTTGTTTAATATCGAATCATATCAATTAGTTTTAAAGTTCAACAAATAACAAAGAAGACCTTTGACCAGCACTTTTCAAATGTTGTCCGGAAGATTTCAACTTTAACGGACATGTTGACCGGAGAACAAATATTCTAACGGGAACTCTGGCTAGAGGACATCCGCAGAATTGTAAGGGAAGTGATTCAGGATGAAGGTTCCTCGCTCAAGACAGACAGTCAGCTTGCGATTGCACCAGTAAGAGCTGAATTGGATGAATGTAAGACTCAACTTGCTGATCATGAGGAAGGTTTAAACACCCTGGCCGCCCGGATTGACTCTGGAAGCCCGCAGCACTCAGCTAGCTAAAGACAATGCTAAATTACAGTTGAAAACAGACGACATTGAGAATAGAAGGAGATGTTGCAATCTACGTATTGTTGGAATACCAGAAGGTGTTGAACAAGGCAACCCTACTACGTTCATCTCTAACATGCTTCACTAATTGTTTACCGGACTGGAGAAAGCACCGGTACTTGACCGTGCTCACCGTGTGCCCGGCCTAAAGACGGAGAGCGCCCACGCTCCTTCCTCTGTAAGGTTCATCTTTTTCAAGTGAAAGAGGAAATACTGAAACTCCCTCGTCAGGAAGGCAAGCTGCTCGGCGCACCCAGATGTTCCCTGACTGCAGCGCAGCGCGGCATCATGAGGTGAAGGCTGTGCTTCGCAGGGCAGACGTCAGATATGGGCTCCTTTACGCGGCACGACTGCGGATCGCTTTCGGCAGTGAGACGAGGATTTTCGACTCCCCCCAATCCGCGATGGAATACTACACTACTAAGATAAAGCCTCCCGCCGAAAACATGTGAACATTTGTGCTGTTTGTTCGAGGGCCGTCTGTTAAGTCAAGGAGTCGTTTACCACGGACTGGAGATCGGGACCGGAAGGATCCGGGTGGATCAGGCCGTAATGGAACCGCTCTCTGCAGGGACGCTGTTTGAGCCGGGATAACTGACTGTTTGTGCTCTCTTCCTATAGTCATGTGTCTCCAGACGCTGCTTGTATCTTGACTCATGTGAGGGTCTTTCTTTCTTTCTTTTCTCCTGATCATTTTCCTCATAACGTTTAAACAGACTTTTCATTCACGGGATCTTTTGAGACTCTTTCCTTGAGACCTCCTCCTGCAGGTCTGTCTTGTTCACCGGTTGCTTCAGTTCGAGTTTAGCTTCAGTAACTACTCCATGAATGTATCTGCTCATGTTTAAAGCATCTTGTCTCACTGCTCATAGTAACCGGTGCTCAGATCAGACAGACAGCAGACAAGCAACGCGTATTTGTGAGAGGGTTTAGCTTTGAGCAAAATACCTGTTACAATTATTTTGCACACGTCTTTTGGGTCTTGTTTTATGTGATTATTGTTTTCAGCTTAGAATAAGGACACTAGAGGAGTTCACTGCTGGATAAGCACATTCTGTTATAAGGACCGAACGTGGTTAGATATTGAGGTAATGGCGGTTAGAGGAAAGCTTGTTAAGCTTTGGGAACATGGGGAGAACAATGTGTGATACATGTTTTCTTTTTTGTGTGTGTTATAGTCTGTTTTTGTTTTGTTTGTTTTCTTATGGTTTCTGTTAAGAATGCTCCAGACAGAGTACGGCAATATTTTAGCACCTTAATCTATGACCAGCTTGCACTTCAGCTCTCCATTCTTTCAGTAAGAAATCTTCAATGACGACTCCATCTGCCCGCCGGGGGTGAATGGCTGCCAGGTGAACTTCATCAGCTGGAACCGTAAGGGCCTAAATCAACCTGTAAGAAAGTCCTCTCCCATCTTCCTCAAGGTCAATGCTGCATTTCTCCAGGAAAC